AATGGAGGGGAAATGAAAGTCCTAGAATTTAAGTGATTAGGAGGAACAGTAAGTAGCAGACCCAGAATGGTGCCAAGGTTGGAATGGAGAAAATCCTGGGCCAAGTTTATTAATTTATTTATTCAACAAATATTTGCCAGCACCCATGCACATCATGGAACTTGATTTTTTCTTGACTCTGGCCTCCCAAGTATGGACAGGCTTTACAGATTGGTTGTGTATGGATTACTACTTTCTTCTTAATGAATATTAAGAGACAGCAGTATTAATTGCATGACACTTTGAGAGTCTGGAGAAATTTTAGAGGTACTTATTCTTTATAGACAATTATAAATCCCTCTGTTTGCTTTTCCTAAACCCTACTGCCATCCTCTGCCCTCTGCCACCTTACTTTTGGAAGAAGCTTGGTTACTTGGATACTCTAAGTTGTACAAACTGCTTTACGGAACACTGGAAGAATATGGAACACATAGTGACTTAAGAATTCCAATTGGACACTGTGCTGATTCTCTGTAACTAACCTTTCATCTTGTGTTTTTGCCTCAGTAGAGGAGTATCTGATTGCTGTAGGAGACTCTGGCACCCATCAAAGATGACCAGCTTTTACTTGTCTATCCTAGGTTATCAAGGCTGCCTATAACCAAGTAAAAAAGATTGCTCAAGGAAACCTTTCCAGTGCAGATGTCCAGGCTGCCAAGTAAGTTTCTGTATTAACTGTGTTTCATGTTTCAATTATTTGAAAGTTGTATTTTTTCTAGTTCAAACAATATTGTAATATATGTTCGAAAGAATTGAAAGGTACAGAAAAGTATTTAAAAGGAAAGGGAAACTCACCCATATCCTACCACCTAGAGATATAATTGTTAACATTTTCCTTATTTTCTTGACCATTTTTATGCATTTTTAAACATAATTATTAATATTATATATATACCTACATCCTATTTAATAGCATGTTTAGTGTAGAAATTTGAAAATTACAAATACAAAAAAGACAAAAATGATCTTTCATTCCCGACCAATGATTTCTCTTTCTTTTAACATTATAATGGTGTTTCCATTTATTCAGATTACTAGACATTTGTCATCAACAATATTAATTGTTATATCAAAATAGACTTTTTGGACATTTTATGCAGTTGGAAATTATGAACTATAAAGGATACCTTTGGGCTTAGAACATTTTAGTATTTTATATTACTTTCTTGGCATAGCTTCCCAACTGGGTCAGGAGTTATAAACATTATAATGAAAGACTCTGTGTTAAAGTGTATGTGTGTATTTATATAATATTTTTATTTTTATATTTTGAAGTCAAACAATACCTCTAACTCAGTAGTTCGGGGAGTTTCTCTAAGTGAAAGTGAAAGAGTTGGAAATCAACTTGCATTTTCGTACAGCAGCTCAGAACATTTAAATTTGACTCCATCCATTTAGGACAACTCAAAATGTGAATCCTGAAACTCAGTCAGTCTTCATGATCTTTTAGTATTGCTCACAAAGGAAGTATGACAGGGTGAATTAACAACCCAGGAGGGAACGACCTTTTAGTCATTTCTGTTCCCGTTAGTATTATTACCTTTGTTATACTGAACACACTAAAACTTGCATCTCTTGCGTAATTACAACACAATTAAGTATTTTATACATGGGACCAAGGATTGATAGGATACAGTTCTATATGATTGCACCTGAAACAAAACATGATGAGAATAAGCTGAAACACTGGAACTACTGAAGAAAAATCTATTTCAAATCTAATTTATTTAAGAAAATATTTTCTTAATAAGTGTGGCACAGTTTTTATAAGGTACAGCAACATGTAGAAAATGGAATTTCGGTTATTAATGTCGATATGTTTGTTTTCTGCCATTTGGATGGAGTTGATACTTTTTCTTGTAAGGTTCTTAGTCTTGGTATAGTGAAAGAGAAAATGAGGTGTCATTGCTGAAGGGAAAACTAATAATCTCTTGGTAAAGTTTACTGCAGGTAAAATCTTTTTTTAATTAAACTGACAGTGTGGCAAAATTGCTGCATTAAAGTGTAATTATGTTTTAATGGAAGTCTTGCTGCAGAGTGCCAAAGGAGGATAGTTTGAGAATTAAATAACTCAAGTGACTTATTGAACATCAGTTTCTTTCTGGGAGAATTATGAATTGGATTTTATTTTATTTCAAATTGATGCTTTTGTGCCCATATTTAAGCTGCTGGGACTTAGAAGACTTATACAGCCCTTCCCTACCTGCCTTCTCCATCCTGACCTACCCTCACTCGATGAGACAAATCCCAGCATAGAAATGGGGCTGTGAGGCAGGGGGCGATAGGTATAGAATCAGCACATGACATTCTGCTAAGTTGAGGACTTAGTGCATTCTGGACAGTGCCATAAGCGCCCACATAGGTATTTTTCTTTAATAGAAATGCCTAAATTATCACCAAAAAAGTATCAGGAGGCAAGAGTTACTTCACTAATCAAAACTTCACATTAAAATACTTTTAACTAGATCTAAGTTCTAGTCCAAAATCAAAAGGCAATCTGTTGGGTTTTTACTATAATCTTGTATTGATAGCTTTCTAAATGACAATGTAAATAATAAAATAGTTGGTGAAGTGAAGAAATAGGATGGAGGCCTTTAGCACTTGTAAAATTTCAGAACTGTTAATTTACATATTGACTAAAACGTGTTTAAGCATTTGGGGATATACTTTAAAATTGCCTTGCTCTATAAAAGTGGCTTTTTAGTTACACACCTTTTATTGGACAGGAACAAGCTGAAAGCTGGGTACCTAATGTCAGTGGAGTCTTCTGAGGGTTTCCTGGATGAAGTTGGGTCCCAGGCTCTAGCTGCTGGTTCGTACACGCCGCCATCCACAGTCCTTCAGCAGATTGACTCAGTAGCTGATGCTGACATCATAAATGTAAGCAAATGAAAATTTATGATTTAACATCAAATGACTTGACCTTAGTGATCAAATTTCAGAAGGAATGCATAAGCTTCCTTCGTCTGTATGTTATTCTCATGCTGTTGTGTGCCTCTGTAGCTGGTGTGGAGGCAGGAGGGCTCATTACCATCACTTCTGCAAATAGCTTCCTTGTCAGCTCAGGGTATTTGTATCTTCCTCACGCAACTCAATTACTATTAGGTTAAACCATTTTAAATTCTTAGAGGTCAAGAAGAGTCGAATATTGCCAATTTCATATGATTCAACCTCAGTTGAGTTTGGTATTTTTCCTCATTACTCCCAAGAAATAAACTCTCTATCCTGCCAATCCTTCATGATCCAGCATCTCAAGATTTTCTTTGGTCTTCTCAGCCTAAGACATTCTCCTGCTCTTGCTATATTATTTTTTTTCACGTATGTTATTGTTTCCTACAAGATTGAGTTGTTTTGAGGACAAGGACCATGTCTTAGAATTCTTTGTATTCCCTACCATGCCTAACAAGTATGTGAACTACAGAATAAATCCAGAATCAGCGGGTTTTTCCAGTCCCGTCTATATTAAAAATGCCAACTCCCCTTCCGTTACAGAGGTCTCAACCATCTTCTCACCAACAGGTCTACCTTGTATAGGGACAATGGAGATAGAAAAGACAGACAGGCTATTTTAAGATAGTAACGCTGATTTGATTTCACTTGGCCCCTAAGTTCATCATTATATGTCTTCCAGTGGCTGTCCTCATCTTCTATACTGTCATGTAAGTCCCAGCCCACCTGCCTTCACCGCCATCTCTCCATTTAAAAAGGGTGGCCTGAGATAATGGGGGGGCTGCTACTCATGGTATTACACTTAACCTAAACAATCAGCTTTTGAACTTGAAGTCATGGAATAAGAATACTAGGATATAAAGTTTGACTTTCAAATTAACAATCATTGTATTTTTATTGACTCAGACTATTTGCCATTGTAATACAGAAACAGGAAAGTACAGCCCTGCCCAAGGCCGAACCCTGCCCTATTTTGTAATGTTAGTGAAGTTTTCCTTATCCCCCTCTTTAACAGCGACCCTCATATCTAGAGCAGCACACTTGCTCAGTCACACATATGATGGAACATCCAAAGGAACAGCTGAGCTTTTCCTCCTACATTGTGACAAATTAAAATAATGCACCAGCCCTCTCCTATAGTTTTCCTAAGAGCCTATTATAGAATTGCTGGCTTAGAATGTCCTATCCATAAACTCTTGAAATAACAGAATAAATAAGTTTATCTACTTGATAATACATTTTCTTATTTCTGTTAACTTTCTGTCTTTTCTTGTTTGTTTACTTAAAGGCTGCAAAGAAGTTTGTTTCTGGCCAGAAGTCAATGGCAGCAAGTGGAAATTTGGGGCATACGCCTTTCGTTGATGAGTTATAATACTGAAAGACATTGCAGGACAGAGCTGAACACTTTCCCAACCCAGAGCAGCAAACATATGAAAGTCAAGTCTCTATTATAATATTTATCTTTTTTTTTTTTAAGGAGGTGAAATATCTTAAAGCATAAATGCAGGTAATTGTTCCCAGCTGACCTAAAGTCAATAAAACATTCTGTTTAAATGGTTTTTTTGCATTTTTCCCAATCAGTTAATGAATAAGTATTTATTATATGCTGAGACCTTTGTTTCAGATGCTGTAAAGCAGAACGGGAATATAATAATAGAGTACAGAGTATCAGAAACTATTAAAATCAAGGCCAAGTAGCTATCAGAGTAAATATTTCCAGACTATTACTGGTGGCTTTTTAAGATAAAAGGAGTTTAAAAATCTGTCCTTTTGGGTGAGAACAATTAAATGGTCTAAGTTTTACCCACTTTGCCTTTTTTGCACTAGTTATTTCTAAAACTTGTTTTCCCTATTAGTCATATCCTGTATTTCCGCTGCTTCATTTTACATGTCTGATTTAGCTTCACTGTGGCAGACTTTTTGTTTCTCTCTCATCTTCTCCCTCTCCCTATCGGTTTCTATCCTGTCTCTTTCAAGTAATTAACTATCAACCCAACATTCAAAGTAAAAGTAGGGCTGAAAAGTGAAAAAAAATCCTAATGTGAACAACTAGCCAAAAAAATATATCTCTATTATTTCTTTTAAGTATGGCACTTGAAGTTTGCAAAACAAGAGAAACTAAATATCTAAATAAAAATGTGGTACTTACCTTAAAAAGTGAAATTCTCTACTATGTTCACACATTCTGATATTGGGTTCCTCTGCTGCATTTTCTAAAAGATGAGACATTCTTCTCAAAAGGAGGGTCTTAATGATCTGAATGATGTTGCTATTTTGAAAATAGCAAAGTTTGTGAAGCCTTTGAGGCCCCAGGGAAGTCTTTGGATATCAGGCTGAAGGAGGTCTCCAACAGCTTTACAACACAGTCATGAAAGGGAGTTGGTAAGTTTGCGCATACTCCTGTAAGTATAGCTGACCTGTACGTGGCAATGCACGAAAATTGAGTATTTTCAAGAGAAATGCACCTCTGAGCACAGATTTGCAAACTACTGCCTAACCAACTTTTGCACAGGTGGACCCTTGCTCTTTTCAACCTGGGCATAGTCTTCCAGCCAAAATGCATCTGAGGCAGAGGAGGAGGAGGAGGAGCTTTCATTGTCTTGCTTCACCATTGTCCAGTATGGAGAAGGGGCTCTCACTTCCTTCTTGTGATCTCTGTGAATCATCACGTCACAGTTAATGTCCTTTCCTACACTAATAGTACGGTTCTTCTTTTTATATCCATGCCATTCTCTGGAGATAGACATTGGTGTCTTTGCAGTGTGATGTCCAGTGGACCGGGGACCTTTATAATACTTAAATTTTTTATCTAAAACTACATCTTCATTGTCATCACTGCTTTTGAAAGAGTCCTCTTTTGCCTTCTCAGTTTCCTTTGTTGTGCTGAAATGAAAAGACTAGTGAATGAAATGGATTGTTAATGTCTGAACATTCATTGTCTCCTAACAAGATGTCTTATAACCTGCTTTGTCTCCTAAAAGGATACAGTTTAGCTTTAGCACTACCTTTCTCTGTTGAAATTTTTCTCTTTTCTAAAAGTACTTTTATATTTGTTTCCATTCCTAAACATAAGTCAAATTCTGCCTTAAATTATTTAACATTACTTTTTTTTTGGTGAGGAAGATTGACCCTGAGCTAACATCTGTGCCAGTCTTCCTCTATTTTGTATGTGGGATGCCGCCACAGTGTGTTTTGATGAGTGGTGTATAGGTACACGCCCAGGATCCAAATCTGTGAACCCTGGGCCACTGGAGCGGAGTGTGTGAACTTAACCACTAAAGCACCAGGCCAGCCCTCACATTACTTTAAGAAGCTTTGCACAGACTTAAGCCACAGTACTGACCTGAATATTAGCAGGCTTTAAGGGTAGGTTAATTTCACTCCATCCAGAATGACAGGTCAAACTGGGCATCTCCTCCACAGAATTCTGTTCTCATGGGTCACATGGGGTCAGCAATAACAGAGAATATTACCAGTTTCCAGGGGAGCTGGGAAATAGTGGGCCTCAAAGATTTTCAGCATGCTAGTCATTGGTAAATCTTTGAGTCTTCTTTTGTTCTCCTAAGCATCATTCTTTGCCTCTCCTTTGGGTTTACCAATGTGGATTTGTAGAACACCTTTTACTCAGGTGTATCTCATCATTCACTATTCCACCTCTCTGTTGCTCTCCAAAAGCTTTTAAAGATTTTTTTTGTAACTTGCCCCAACTATTGGCTTTCTTTTTCTTTTTTTTTTGTTTGAGGAAGATTATCCCGGAGCTAACATCTGCCACCAATCTTCCCCTTTTTGCTGAGGAAGACTGGCCCTGAGCTAACATCCGTGCCCATCTTCCTCTACCTTATATGTGGGACGCCTGCCACAGCCGTGGCTTGCCAAGCAGTATGTAGGTCCGCACCCAGGGTCTGAACGGGTGAACCCCTGTCCGCTGAAGCGGAACATGTGAACTTAACCACTGCGCCACCAGGCCAGCCCCCCAATTATTGGCTTTCTTGATTGTTGGAACTTGGGTGACGCTTGTCTGCTAGCAATTACAGGCCTCTTGAACTTTCCTAATACCTGCAGTACCTGTGCCTGCTATTCCTTTCCTGAACAAATGCTATCTGTCACCTGCTCCCGCCATCCTGGTGCTGTTGCTGAGCAGATCCAAAACTAGATCTTTGTGATTATGAACCTCTCATACATTCTGTGCTGCTAAAAGGAAATAGGAAGTAGGTTTCTTTCCCACCACCCACCCCCCGAACCTGTCAGACTTGCTAGTATTATCACTAATATCCTTGGAGATCTGCCTATTTTATTTGCTCCCCAAAATTTGAACAGCTTTTCCTAAAGTTGCTCTCTTCTAGTAATATACAATTAGTATTGAGTCATGTTTACTGAGAGCCACTAGTCTTAAATTGTATGATTTTCTTTTATCCTTGATTTAGTGCTGTGCAAGAAGATTCAGAAGATCTCAGGATTAGAACAGTTTGCCTTCAGACATGCTCAGGGCTTCCTGTACAGCATATGAATGGGAAAAAAGTCCAAGGTACTTTTTTTTTTTCAGATTGCAAAGGGTATCCTTTGTAACTCTGTATTAGGCAACCATAAAGGACAGGTGGCAGGGATAGGTTCTTGTTAAACTGGCATTTAAGGCCACAGGCCAGCAGAGGTCAGGGTTGGCTAGAAACAGTTTTTATACCACTAGGCCTGCCCAGAGCATCATATGGAATATTTTCTCCAGTGTGCACACAGTGCCATTTGCTCCTCAGAAAGGTCATACTAACTTTGTGAAAGAAGCCTTTTCTTCCTCCTTCTACCCCTTCCCTGCCCCCTTCCACATAAGTCACTAAAATGCCTTAAATATAAGCACTTTGCTTAAGTAAGAAAGAGACTCAAAACGTGCTTGGTATTGTTTGTGGGGTTTAGCCCCCTACTTAAGTTGTACTATTCTGTGTTTCTCTCTTCTGTGCTTTTGAATGGTCAGTCTGCCATCCTTAGATTTTAATATTCTGAATCTCCAAATCTGTGTAATTAAAATGCTTAGAACATAGTTGTTCTACAAGCTGATAAGGGCTCAGGCTCGAGGGCTATGCTCCCCAGTATAGGGTCCACCAGCTACATATGGCTGCTGAATTTAAATTGATTAAACTTGAATAAAATTTAACATTCCTCAGTTGCATTTGGCTAGTGGCTACCATATGGAACAACACAGGTACAGAACATTTCCATCACTGCAAAAAGTTCTTATTCCACATTGCTACTCTAGAGACAGACCTGTGCTACTTAGCCCTGTGATCCCTGGCAAGTACATACACATTTTTCTTGGCCTCGGTTTTCCATATCTATAAAACGAGGATAATAAAAAGAATTGGCATGAGCATTAAATGGTATGATGCTTGTAAAGCAGAGCCCACCACATAGTGAGCAATGAATAAGTGTTCACTGTTATCATTAACAGCTTTTAATCAAATCAGGATTGGTTTGGTTATTTGGGGGAAAAATTTTCCCCAGTCTGTGCCTGATCTGAAGGGGACAGCTGCTACCCATCTCTAGCCCACTGTCACATGTGGGAATGCAAGTCCATCTTCTGATTTTTCAGGAGAAATCAGAGATGCAGATTTTCCATGAAATCTTAGATTTGTAAATTTGGCAACTAATTCAAATATTTTTCATTTTTTAAATTTTGAAATATACAGAAAAATGCAAAAAACAGTTTAATGAAAAAAATTATGAACAGCTTGGTAGCGACCATTACTGTCCCCTGGAAAAACCCCATGTGTCCTCCTTGCTCTCTGTAGATGACTACTCTTCTGGGTTTTTAAAATGCTGTGGGAGATGAGCAAAGTCCCTTGGGCCACAGGTTGGAATCTCTGAAGTAATGTCTATGCAACATGGGCCATTTTTTAGTCTTGGTAAAGTTCCTAGCCATATTTCTTTGAGCCCATCCCAATAAGCAAAGGCACACAGCAGCAGCAACTAGTGCTCAGGAATCCTATCAGAACTAATAAAGACCACCCTTGCATCAGCAGCCCTGGTGGTCTAGTGGTTAAGATTCACTGCTCTCACTGCCATGGTCTGGGTTTGTTTCCCAGTCAGCGAACCACATCGCCCATCTGTCGGTTGTCATAGTATGGAGGCTGCATGTTGCTGTGATGCTGAAAGCTATGCCACCAGTACTTCAAATACCACCAAAGTCACCCATGGTACACAGGTTGCAGCAGAACTTCCAGACTAAGACAGACTAGGAAGAAAGACCTGGCCACCAACTTCCAAAAAATTGGCATGGAAACCCTGTGAATAGCAGCAGAGCATTGTCTAATAATAGCACCAGAAGGTAAGAGGATGGCACAAAAAGAACAGTGGGCAGGGTTCCACTTTGCAATACACAGGGTCACTAGGATTTCGAAACAACTCAGTGGCACTAACAACAACAAACTCTTGCACCAGAGCACTGAATCTGTCACTAAAAGAAAAGGATCTCATGTTCTTGTGTCCTATAGAACTTCCTTGCATATCTGATCCTCAGAAGAGTCCCTGGTACTTATGTGTGACATAAACAAGCTCTCAGAGATTAGGTGATTTACTTGAGATTCAGAGCTGGATTTTCATTTTCATTCACTGAATAAATGAGCCCTCAACCACATGAAAGTCCTGTGGTAGGTTTAGCAGAACAAGACAGACTTAGTCTCTGCCTTCATAGAGTTTACATTCTCCCAGGGCAACAGAGTAAACAACTGATTAGACATTGTGTCATTGAAATTGGGATAAATGCTATAAAGGAGATACACAGGGTGCTATGAGAGCAAATGACAGGTGGACCTGACAGTGCTAACACTTCCTTTAGGAAGGCCTTCAAGGAAGAGTAATGACAGGGTCCTAGGCATGTTGCAGACAGAAGAGCAGGTGCAAAGGCCCCAGGCAGAGAGCTACGTAAGGTCAAAAAGCTGAAAGCCAAAGTGGACTAGAGAGGGAAGGGAAGAGCAGTATGCGGATACCAGCCAACCGGGATAGCAGAGCCCAGTGTGAGGATTTGGGCATTTATCCTGAGGACAAAAGGTCTTACAAGAGTTTAAGCAGGAACATGTCATGTTCAGATTTGCGTTGTAAAAGAGTCATTCTGTGTAGAAAATGAATAGAGGACAAGAGTAGATGCACAGAGACCAAATGGTGGCTTTGACTGGGGTGATGGTAGTGGCCAGAGAGAAGGGAACAAACGAGAGATGGTTGGAAGGAAATGACAAGTCTTAGTGATTATTTGAGTGGGAGGGTGTGGGAGACAAGGGAGATGGAGAAATCAAGTACAACCCCTAGATTTCTGATTTGTTAACTAGGCAAGTACTCCCCCAATAAGATAGGGCCTCTGGAAGCTCAGTGATGAGCTAGCTTTAGATTTTACACATAACGGGCTTGAGAAGTTTATGATACATCCAAATGAAGATTTCAAGTCAGAGTTTATATATGCAAGTTTGGAGATAATACAATTTGAAAGTTATTAATGTGTGGATAGTAATGGAAACCACAGGCATTGCTGATATTGCCCAGAAGAGAAGAGAGCCAAAGATTAAACTCTGAGGAACTCCAAGGTTGGATAAAAGGAGACCAAGAGGCAAGTGCCCAGAGGTCATAGGAAAATCTGAGGAGTGTGGTATCACGGGAGCCTGAGGAAGATAATGTTTCAACAAGAGTGAGAGTGGGAGGTTGTAAAGCTTCTAATGCAGCACGAAGCCAAGCAAAGTGAAGACTGAATCCATTGGAAGCAGCAGCATGAAGGTTGTGAGTGACCCTGGAATGGGAAGAGACCTCTCAGCCAATAACGAAAGCAAGGCCTACAGTAAAGTGGGTTGAGAAGTGCCTGGGAGATGGTGTCTTCTGAGGAAATAGTGATGTCCAATACAACTCTTTTAACAAGTTTGGAGTCAAGGCATAGGACAGTGTCTGGAGGGGGCAGGGAGAGGAGAGTGGAGTTACAGTGGGGTTTGCTAAGATGGTAGGGGCTTTAAAAGGCTTCTTAAGTGTTACTGGGAAGGATCCTGAGAGAGAGAAGTTGAATATGCGAAGACAAATGAGGAAATGGGATTCATGGCCCATGTTTAAGGGCTGACTTTGGAAAAGGGGGCACCTTGCAGGTAGGTTTAGAGGCAGAGTTCCCATCAGGTGGTTTGTATTTTCTTTAACTCCAGGTTCAAGGCTCTTGGCTTTGTTATTCTGCCTCATATTAGGTCCTGCACATTGTCCTTTCCAAAAGGATTTAGAAACCCAGTAAATTATTGTGGTGGTGTCACCAATCCCTCCTACCATGGTCCATTTGATAATTCTCACGTTAAATCAAGACCCTGTGCTTCATAGGCCCTGGGGAATCTGTAGTATAACAAAGATACCCTAAAATGAACTACTTACCATGTTACTGGGAATTTGGTCTCAGGGATTAAATCATGTATTTCTTCCCATTCTTGGGGTATGTCAATAAAATCTCGGTAAACCTTGATTTCTAGCACTGTTCCTATGGTGGTATGTTGCAAAAGCTGTAAAAATTCTCGAAGAGTGTATCCTAATACATTGGCATGGCCAACACTAATCAGAACATCACCTGAAGAGGGAAAAAATTTATCAGTAAAATTAAGGTAATGGTTTAAAGCGATCATACCATTTCTGACTTTATTGTGAGGTGTTTCATTTTATGGGTTCATTTTGTTGGTTCATTTTGAACCAAAACCAGACTTCAGCCTTATTTAACAAAAATAACCATCTCAGTGACATGAGTATCCTTTGCATAATGAAGAATGCATGCAAGATGTTGCATGCTTTTTGCTTTTTTGTGTGTGTGTGTGAAGAAGATTGGCCTTGAGCTAACATCCGTTGCCAATCTTCCTCTTTTTTATTATTTTTTTATTTTTGCATTTGTGAGGAAGAGTGGCCCTGAGCTAACATCTGTGCCAATCTTCCTCCATTTTGTATGTGGGATGCTGCCACAGCATGGCCTAATGAGCAGTGCATAGGTCCACACCTGGGATCTGAACCTGCAAACCCCAGGCCACTGAAGCAGAGCACACAAACTTAATCACTACACCACTGGGCTAACCCCCTCTTCTTTTTTTCCTCAAGGAAGATGAGCCCTGAGCTAATATCTGTGCCAGTCTTCCTCTATTTTTTTGTATGTGGGTTGCTCCCTCAGCATGGCTGATGAGTGGTGTAGGTCCATGCCAGGGATCCAAACCTGCACACCTGGGCCACTCAAGCAGAGCACACCGAATTTAACCACTACACCATGTGGTCAGCCCCCCAACCAAGATGTTTCTTAACAGCAGTATGATGATTATATCATGTTTTTACAACATTTCACATTTCTGAAGTCTTTGGCATAACAGAGGCTAAAAACCATTTATAATCCAAACCATCCTTTAGAATTCTAAAAACGTGTTTGTTTCCAATAAAATGAATGGCTATTACTGTTAAAGAAAAAACCATTTACACTAAGTGATGAATGAAGGACCTACTTTCTATTATACTTGCCTGGCAATTTCCAGTGCCCTCCACAGTAAGTAGACCATATTAAACTTCAAGCCTTTCATTTTTATTTTCTGCCCTTGCACGGTATTTGTTGAGCAAATAATTCTCAACAAATTGCTAGACAATTATTGCTAATTAATGCTAGACAATTAGCATGCTTTAATTAAGCTTAAGATGTGTCCACAGAGAGTACGTTGGTTCAAAGGGATGTGACAGCTAGGTCCCCTACTTGAGGGCAGTGCTGGACAGGGAGGGAAGCATGATGGTCAGCCATGCAGCTTCTGAGCCTCCAGCAGGTGGGAAGAGAACCACATCTTGACAGCAAGCCCCTGAACCCCTAAATTGGATGCTTAAAAAGACCAATGACTCACTGCACCCGCCTCCTTACCCCCAGCTACGGCATAGACATGTAAACTAGGTCCAGCCATTGGTTCTCCCACCAGGGTTGCTGAACCTGGAACTGGAGATGCAGAGGGGTGACAGGAGCACCAGGTTTCCAGGCGTAGTTATTCATGGGCTCTTTGTTCTCTATTTTCCAAGCCTTTCTGGCAATTCTGTCAGACTTGATGTCCTAAATTCAGTGCCTTAACAGAACTGTTTTCTGTTAATTACAATGAAGAACCCTGACTGCTACACAGGCATTCGGCAAGAGAGGAAGGAATACAAAGAAACTGCTTTTCAAGGACAGACTCACATTGGGTAAAATCTTAGTCTTCAGATCTTTCTCATACTAACATCCTGCCGAATAGTATTGGAGACTTCCTAGCTAATATCGGATGAAGTGACTCCAATGAAGAACCAAAGGATGTGTCCACCTCTCTGTGCATGGGAAGCTAGGGACCCCTCAATCACCCTCATTCCAAGACAGCTGAAGCCTCACTCAGAGGAGGAAAGAATCTAGGGGAAATACCTTCTCTAATCCTACACCCCACTGTGCTGTAATCGGGAACTGCTGATCCCAAAGGAAGCCGCCAAGCAAAACCAAGGACAAATTTCCATAGTGCTAGATCCTATCAGAAACAAAAGTTCCCAGTGTTAAAGAAAATGAATACTTAGAAGGGTGCAGAAAACCTACTTTGGTCTTAAAAAGTAGCTGGGGGTAAAGCCAACCATAAACTTCAGAATAAAACTAGGCTGCTCCCAGCTACCTGCAGATCGTGCGGTCTGAAACCGCTGTTCACCCTGCGGAGGTTAATTACAACGGCAAAAAAACCTCACTGAATGAACTTACTTGCCTAATGTTAAAAGGAGTGTTTATGGCTGAAAGCTATGGCTTGGCATTCTGCTTAATTATGTTGTTAAAGGGTGACTTTTGTGAAGAGGGCAGAAAATAAACAGCTTAATTCCCTGACCGTTCTGGCTGTAAACCAAACGTGTCAGTGTATGAATGTGACTACTCTGGCAATAGATATTAACATTGCCCTTCATAAAGAAACACCAATTTGGAAGTTATGAATACTAACCTCATAACACGTTTTATTCTGTTTTAATGGGCTGTAGGAACCATATTATATAAACTTTGTCTTGATAACCTATATTAAATCAACTTTGCAAGCAGCCAAGCCATGACTGAAAAATAGACCTTTATTTTTCTCCATCTTTCCCAACTAAGCTGTAACTTTAAGCTCCAAGTGGTTAGAGACCACATCTGTTTGGTTCACCCTGTACCCCAGTGCCTAGCAGGATGCCTGCACAGAGCAGGCATTCAGGAAACAATTACTGAATGAATGTGGCCTGGTAAGGGTGGTGGCCAGTACGTGACTTTTATTTACCTTCAAACTATATTAATTTCTTAACATTCTGGTTATCAGAGTCTGTTAAAGCCATATTGGCCAAAGGGAATTTAAAGTTTAGCCAGAATAAACTAACACTAAACTAAATTAGAAAATCAAGATGAAATCACGTTATGAAACACCAAAAAGGAGAGAAATTTAAAGCACACAGATGAGAAATAATGGGGCTGGGAGGTAATGGGGTCAAAGAAATAGCAGGTTTCTCGGACTATCACTTCTAAAAATCTCATAATCATTGTCAAAACTGAATTACAGTCTTTGAAACCTAGACCCTGAAGAGAGGTGGCTGACTTGTCACGAAGAGATACGAGGCTCTGGACTTCCTCTGTATTGAAATCTCATTTCTAGTCAAAGGTATGGGCTTTCTAGGCAGGCATGGGTTCAAATCCCAGCTCTAACCACTCACTTAGCTCTGTGTATTGAACAAATTACTTCTTCTCTCTAAGCCTCTATATTTGATTATCTATCTTCCAGGAGTGTTGCAGAGATTAAATTAGATAATAGATGTGGAAACATCTTGCACAGTGCCTGGGGCAAATATTCATTTATTAGTCATTTATTAAGCACAGACATCATAAATGTGCCAGTACTGTAGGTAAGTCCTAGATTTAAAAGCTGAATTCAAGACTGCCTCTGACCTCAAGGAGCCCACTAACTGATGCCCCACCAAGAGCTTCTGTTTCCTGTGCATAAAGCATACTCCTCTCCCACTCTAGCGAGTGTGCACGTTGGCTATTAACCAACATCTGTCACCTGACCCCAGAGAAGCTGAGGAGGACAGGCAGACAAGCCCATGGGGCCTGTCCTGGAGCTCTATTGGTCTGGAAAGTCCAGAACCTTCTTTCTGGCATTTGTTCCCCAGTACCAAGTAGTGATATGCGGAGAAAATGCTTTGGATGTTAAGGTGAGGTAAACTGTTCGTAATAGCACTATTTATCTACTTTCTTTAATCCACTGCTTCGAACCCTAGCTGCAATTAGAATCACCTTAGGAGCTTTTAAACCATAAACTGCCCTGACCCCAACCCCAAACCAATTGAACCAGAACCTCTGGGGAGATGGGGCCCAGGAATTTTAGTTTTGAAAGCTCCCAGGTGATTCTCATAGGTAACCAGAGTTGCAAACCAGTGGTTTAATCCACTGGGGCTCTAGTACCAGAGTCATTTTTTATTAAAAAAAAAAAAAAGACAAGTCTAGAGACTCTTTCAGTAAGAACAGCCTAAGAGAAATGATTGCCAATATTTCTATAGTTTTCAAAGCACTTTCATAAAAATTAACTCATCAAATCCTAGCAATCTCTGACAAAGGTGGTATTATCCCAATTTAGAGATGAAGTGACTGTGGCCTGGATGGTTAAGTGACTTTGTCCAAGGTCACAGAACTAGAAAGTGGCAGAGCCTGGGCCTGAATGGTTTTTCCTTCTCACCCCCTTACCATCCCATTGTGCCTCCCTGACTCCTGAGCACAGCACTAGGCCCGGAGCAGGCACTGGGAAAACACATCTTGAACTGGATGGAAATTTCATTCACCCAAAGACAAGAAAAGCAGGACAGTATTGATAAAGCCCTTGGGCTCTGGAATCTAACAGAATTCCAATCCCTGCTCCTTGGTGTGATGATGGGCAAGTTACTAAATGTCTGATTCCTTATCTCTAACGTGGTGTAATGCAGGATCTATCTCAGGGATTGTCAGAGTGGGTGAAATGGGATCGTCAGAGTGGGGTGAAATGGGATCATGCCTCTAAATGGTGATGATGATGAATACTACCTACGAAAAAGAAATCTTTATCCACAGAGAGCCATAAACTCTGGAGTGACACAGTACCTGTGTCTGTATCCCACTTGCTACATGGGGGTGAACCTGGACAAGGAACTCAATCTCACTGAGCCTCAGTTCCCTCACCTGTAAAAGGAAGGCGATGATAATAATTCCTACTTAGAGGGTTATTGTAAGAATTCAATTAATAAATACGGACAACAGTGAGGGTTATTATATAAGTGACAGCAGCTGGCCCATAGAAAGCTCTCAAACAATGTCATCATCATCATTATGGTTACACCAAAACCTAATAACCCAAGTCTCCTTGAAGGCATATAGAAGGGAGGCAGGGGGTGGAGGGTGGGATGCATGGGAAAAACACAGTCACCTGGCTGGAGTTTTCCATCCCTGGCTGCAGCCCCCTTCTTGATGAGATGGATGATTTGGAGGAAGGGCCCATGCTGGATGACGATCAGGCCTAAACCGAGGCTGCTCACAGTGAGTTTGGTCTCCTTAGTTTTGCTCAACTTGTGTTCAGATGTCTTGATTTTGAGACTGATTTGTTTTTCTGATAAAAAGAGGAAGATTTGTTTTCATCCTTCACCTAGACAGCAGCATTTATTTATATATTGATGCAGGCAGTGTGCTAGGAAAGTGTTTCTTGCTTTCATAGATCTTCCAGCCTAGTGGAGGACACAATATCAGCTATGTAAATATATGTTGAATAACAAACTGTAACACACGCAATGAAGGAAAAGTACAGAATGCTCTGAGGGTGACCAACAGGAGGCCCAGTAAAATTTGAGTTGAGGTCAAAAGGACCAATAGAAAATATCTAGGCAAAGGAGGGTGGGAGGGAGCAAATTGGATCAAGGTTCTAAGTGGAAAGAACATAAAGGAGACCAGTAGGGGGCAGGCAGGAGGAGCAAAGGCAGAGCAGACAGGGGCTGCTTCCCAAGTTGACCTTGCTGGAAAAGCTTAGAAGTGATTTAAGCAGGACACATAAGATTTGCTTTTTTTTTTTCAACCCTCTGGCTGCTGTGTGGATTGTGGGGTCGGGAGTGGAAGTGGGAAACAAAAGGGTTACTGCAGTCACCCAAGCAAGTCATGGCAATGACAGCGAAAAGGGACAGTAGGAAAAGAGCATTTGGGAGGAAAATCTGGGACAACAGGTAACGGAAGGAGTTGAAATATGTTTTCTACAAAACTAAATCTCACAAGAAATGTTCCAAAGACTAAAGAGTGATTTAAAACAAGTTATTTTCCCAAGAGGAAGCTTCTGAGGAGATTTGTTTTCAGCACACTTTTCAGCATTTCACACACACACACCACTTTTCCTTAAGGACAAGTAACAAACTGCTACTTGCCAAGCCTTTGCCAAATCCATGTGACTGTGGTGTTTTGGGGGCTCAGGAGTCCTCCCGACTGCTGAGGGATGGGCCCTCCCCTGCTCCCCACCCCAGCTGTGGGGAGCTGGCTGGGTTCAGGCCCTTTCCTCCAAGCAAGTGTCCTTGCCTATCTCCAACCTCACCTTCCCCAAAACCACAGATGCTCTCTGTCTGGAAAATAAATAACCTAGTGTAAAGAAGTTACCGTCTTTAGAGACAAGGCTCCTTGAGCCTCCAGTTCCTGGGCACACAGAGAAGTGGCATGTTAGGCAGGGTCTGAGTTCCAGCCCCAACCTGCAAATTACATGTGCTTATGATACAACCCCCTATGAAGCCCGGTCTCAAAAGGCAGCAGAGTTAAGTGAAGGAAGCCAGACTCAAAAGACTCCACACTATATGCTTCCGTATTTATGACATTCTCTGTGGAAAGGGCAAAACTATACACAACAGACCGGGAGTATCAGGAGCTGCGGTGGGAGAAGGGGTTGGCTGAAAACAGGTAGCACAAGGTAATTTTGGGGATGGTGGAACTGTTCCACATCTTGATTGCAGTAGTGGTTAAACATGGGTATACGTTTGTCAAAACTCAGAGCTGTGCACCAAAAAGGGGGGCTCTTACTGTCTGTAAATTATAGTTCGGTAAACAAATGACGGAGAGAGGCTATCTCCCAGGCCAAGCGTGTCACATTCCCATTTTACAGAGAAGGAAAAGTGAGGAAGGCTTGGTCCCCAGGGCATCACTCTCTTCCCCACTCCCCAGTCACCTTTTCTGCTTTTGACAGAGGCCTTCTTCATGGCCCCGGGAAGGCAGGCCGCTCAGCAGGGCCTCCCGGAGCGGAAGCTGGAGTCGGTCCAACTCCCAACTGTCTGGAACCCTCGAGGAGCGAGCAGCTGGCGCACTGCGCGCAAAACGGGGACCTCAGGCGGGGAGGAGACCTCGGGCACCGCCCCTCGGGCTGACCCCCAGGGGGCGCTGCGACGACGCCCAGAAGTTGGGCAGCAGTGCGGTCACCACGAGGACCCACCTCAATGGGCCCTGGAAAATGGAGTGTGTGAAAATTTTGGTGGAAAAAAAACGAAACACCTGCGGGGACTAGCACAGTGCCTGGCTCACAATGGGTTCGTCATTCATTCTTGGGAAACTATTGAAATAGGGAGGGTGGGGGGAGCACAGAGGAGGGTGTGTCCAAGATGTGAAATGGTCTACAGAGGAAGATCATAGCTAGATGACCATGGAAGAGCACAGAATCCCCTGCTGTGCTCCCAATAATGGTATTTTTAATATTGTTGCATCAACAGTTCCCACTGCTGTGGAACTGCACTTTTTTCATGAATGTTTTGAATGAGAAAAGGCCAAGGGTGGCCAAAAAATGAGTCACGATTAGGAGAGGAATTAATTATTCCTTTTTTCCAAAATAATTCTTCCTCCCACACACACATTCACTCATACAAATATTTACTGGAATCCCATTCTGGTTTGTGCTGATGCTGGGGACACAACAGTAGACAAGACAAACAAGGGCTCTATCTTCTTGGAATTCGGGTTTAAAAAACAGATGAATTGGACAATTTTAGGAAAATATAAATTATCAAAAATAAATTCTAGGGGCTGGCCCCGTGGCCGAGTGGTTAAGTTCGCACGCTCTGCTGCAGGCAGCCCAGTGTTTCGTTGGTTCAAATCCTGGGTGCAGACATGGCACTGCTCCTCAAACCACGCTGAGGCAGTGTCCCACATACCACAACTAGAAAGACCTACAAAGAAGAATATACAACTATGTGGGGGGTGGGGGGGGCTTTGGGGAGAAAAAGGAAAAATAAAATCTTTAAAAAAAATAATAAATAAATTCTAGAAGAAATAGAAAGCAATGTAATGAGGTAGGTCCTGTTGTCATCCCCACTCTGATGAAACTGAAAGCTAAGCATCTCAACATTCGTGCCTTCAACAAAGAGTAATAGAGCACCGTGCAAAGATGTTCATGGTAAACCCAGGCAGGTCCCAGCTTATTTGGCTGTTTCTGTGACTCTACACAGACAATTAACCAGGGCAGATTTCTTGGATAAATCCTGTGTCGCAGAGGCTGATACAAAAGGAAATGAACGGAGTCGTCCTGTTCCCGCTACTCTCAACCTCAAGGAGTCTCCTGCAGGTGGCTTCTGTGATAGATCGCCTGTTTCCTCCTCCAAACAGTCTGGCAAAGCGTCTGTCCAGATACCAAATTAATTCTATCATAAAATGCATCCTTTTCCTCCATTTTCCTATCAGAAGGGGAATGCAGAGAGTTTGTGGGAATAAAGCATGTCAGCATTCGAGGTTCTGTAAGGGCAGCATCAGCGGCACGTGGCACACAGGGGCTCCACCGCTTTCCCTGCATCCCAGGCTGAAAACTCTCTTTAAAGTGGATGCCAAGATCACACTGATTGGCGGAACTGCAAGATACAAACTGTCGTGGATGCTGTGCTATGCTGCCTGGGTCCCCCTTCAGGGCTGAAGGACTTAGTCCTCCCCTCCACTCCACCCCTGCAATAGCTGAAGACAGCCCTCTCCCCAAGATCACACCTTCCCAGAGCAGGTAGCATCCGGTGACTGGTAAAAAACACTTGGCTCCCTTGTCCAACTCAAACAATTCTGGAGAGCCATCCCAGCTTCAGAGCTCCTACAGGGTCCACTGAGCTCCTCCTGTGGCTGCACTGCAACCTAACTTCCTCCTCTGCCAGGTCCTATTTCCTTCCCTCCCCCCACAGGTGTGGGTCCCAAGAGCTCCCCAATAAACTCCCTGCAACTCAGAGTGTGTTTCCTAGAGAACCCAACCCGCAACAGCTAGTTCCAGGGATGGTCTGAAAGAGGAGAAGCCAAGATGGGATTCTGTAGCTGGATGACCCACTGCCCAGGTAATAATGAAGACCCATTCCCAGTAAAGGAGGATTGTACATAGCCTCAGGCACAGGGAAGCACTGATTGTTCAATTTTTCACCAGTAGTAAGATGGAATGGCTTGGCACCCACATGATCCAGCTGGGTGTCTCATAGTACTCCCTTGTCCTATTTTGCCAGTAAATAGACAAATAGATCAGCCACAGCCTGAGAAGTACGTGGCAACCAGAGGCTCAAACCCCTCAGGGCGGGGCAGTCTGGGCCACCTCACCACATAAGCCACCTAGACCATCAAAGGTGCTAGCAGAGGGTGAAAGGAATCTAGGATGGATAGGAGAGGATGGAAATGATGAGTGTGTCAGTTATGCCTCGAGATGACCTGCTGCTGCAGCAGAAGCTGCAGTCTGTCCCACTAACCTTCCTCTTCTTAGTTTCCCACAGGAAAAGATGCCCACAGCGTCCTGAGGGTGCTGCTCTCGGAACTGAAAAGAAGCAAGTGGATCTGCGGAGCACAATGTGTGCACTGTTGCAAATGCTGCACTGTGCTGCCTGGTTCCCGTTCAGGACTGAAGCGCCTAGTGCCCAGCTACTGGGAAGGTTGTAGGTAGACAGGTCTCGGCTGTTGCCCTCCCAAGGAATTGTCCTTGGCTGAAGAGCCACCTTACCAAAAGTCATGCCCCATTCCTGGGGTAACTAGCATCCACTGGCTGGTCCATGCAGGGATACCAAGGCTTGGCCCCTTTACCCCCAACTCAGGACAACTCTGAATAGCCATCCCAGCTTCAGAGCTTCCTGCAGGGTCTGCCAAAGCCTGCTGGACTGTACCACAGCCGTACTGCCCCCTCTGCCCAACCCTGCTTCCTTCCCTTCCCCCACAGCAGTTGATCCTGAGAGCACTCCCTAATAAAGCTCCTGCGCACTATTCAATAATCTCTTCTCTCCGGGTCAGCTCCAAGGGAACCCAATCCATGAGACTACATGAGATTTGAGCCCAAGGCACCAATCGTTAACCTCTGGATTTAGCTTTTTTGTTTTAACTAATCCCAGAAACCCAAGGGGCACATGTGTGCTGCAACCACCACGCTGTTGGCCTGCACAATAAACTTGACCCTCAGGGAGGCCGTGTGTTCTTTATCCTGTCAGGCTAAAGATACTCCTTAAAGAGTGGAGTGATTGCACACTCCCCTCCACAGCTTTCCCCGAGGCCCCATCTGGATTCAGCCTCTGCTGGGCCGAGGCCTACCATCCATCACGATAAAGCACACCGTGCTCACATTCCTTTAACAGCCACAGGATGGCTATTTATGACTTCAGGCTGCCAGCACAGCTCCCTCCTGGGGGCCTTCTATGTTCTTCTAGGTCCCCAAGGATTTTCTGCCTTAAGGAGCCTCATGGCTCATCCTCTCTCGGAATAGAAAAGTCCCAGCTGCTTTGCTTAAGGTTGAGTGAGAGGATGAGGAGGTCCTATCGCTGGAGCAGAGTGCCTGACTCTGGGAGTCTGTTAGGTCAGACGGGAGAAGGAGGCACAGAGAGGTAATGTGACTTTCCCAAGTTCAAGTCGATAGTAGGGGTGGGACTAGAATATGGTTCTGTATTCTTTTTACTCCATCACACCACCGCTCCCTAACCCCTAGGGTTTGCCTGTACTAAAATCCAGACTGAGATATAGAGGAAAATGGAACTGATCTGTCCCATAGATCTCACAGACGCCTGGGACTTTGAAACACCAGGTTTGTTGGAAGGCAAGAATGAGATGTGGGGCTAAAAAGAGGATTAATGGGAAATCTGTAAGCAGTCTTTGGTCCCTGCCCACCCATTGCACCCCGATCCTGGTTGGTAAGAAGGGATGGGATAGATGACTGTTGTTTGTAGTGATATGTGGCCATTCATTTGGTAAAAAATGTTTAAAAATTATTTAATTCTATACTAGTTGTTTTTATGCTTTAATCTTAGATCTAGAACCTTTTGTGGAGGAGCAGAAGCAGGAGGGACTGAGAAGTGCTGCCTGAGTAGAAGGAGGAATTTATACTTGCATTTTTAAAAATTATTACTTTTTTTTTGCTTTTTGGTGAGGAAGACTGGCCCTGAGCGAACATCTGTTGCCAACCTTCCTCTTTTTTTCCCTCCTCCTCACAGCTCCATAGTTCTAAGTCATTCTAGTTCTTCTGTGTGGGATGCTGCCACAGCATGGCTTGATGAGCGGTATCTAGGTCCATGCCCAGCATCCTAAGTAGTGAACCCTGGGCCACCAAAGCAAAGCACATGAACTTAACCACTTGGCCACAGGGCCAGCCCTATACTTGCATTTTTTCTTTTTTTTTTTTTTTTGAGAAAGAGGAGCCCTAAGCTAACATCTATTGCCAATCCTCCTCTTTTTTTGCTGAGGAAGACTGGCCCTGAGCTAACAGCCGTGCCCATCTTCCTCTACTTTATATGTGGGACTCCTGACACAGCATGGCTTGACAAGTGGTGCGTAGGTCCACACTGGGGCTTTGAACCAGCAAACCCCAGGCCGCCGAAGCAGAACATGCAACCTTAACTGCTGTGCCACTGGGCTGGCCCCTATACTTGCATTTTTTAAACACAAGAATCAAGTCATCATTATTCCACTCAGTTAGAGTTAGAATAGGCAAACCATTCCAACATTTCACCCTAGGACTCTCATCCACTGCCCAATAGTGAACATCAGTGGACATTATTTGAGAATTCAGAACTGTATAGTCGGAGTTATATTACTGGGCAATAGAAACACTGCACCAGAAGCCAAGAATATGACTCCATCAAACTTCTCCAGTACTTAGAATGAAGACCTCCTAAAGTAATGTGATACACATATCTGAATCCCTGGAATATACAAATCAGCTTGTGCCAGTTTCTGTGGCAAAGGAAAAATAGATGACATCATAATAATTTTTTAAAAATCCTCCCCCCTCAAGAGACCAATGTTTGGACAGGAAAGTCGACAGACTGGCAATCAAACCCCTCCTTATCTTTTTATACACAGTTTTTATACACTTTTTATACACAGT